ACCTGGTCATTGAAGGAAGACCATACCATTGTGTTTTATCTTGGAAACAAAAATACATAGTTAAATAATGTAATAACTGTTACATAACTGAAATGTTTTTTCTAGTTTTTGTGCAGTCCTTGAAGGAAGTGAAAATGACATGAGATTTATATACTGTGCTGCTTGCATATGCTACATGCTCAATAGTTGGTCAGGGATGAATACAAAGAAAGCCATTGACTATATTAGAAGAAGTATGGTAAGTTTTGCCAAGTGTCACTTGATTAAAATGTTTTTTGTATCCTGTATTTGGAAAGCCATTATATTGCTTCTCATGGACATCCCTGCTTTATTGGAATGTCTTTTTCTTTTCAACTTCGCTGACAAATTATATCATAGAGATATTTAACTATTTCTTGAGTTGAATGAGTAGTCTTTAATTTAACCATAAATAATAAAGATAGCAACTACCACACAACTTCCCATGCTTAATAATTATTGATAAGAAAGACAAAAAATCTGGATGTGCACATTAAAATACCTGAAGTAGCAAAATAGAAGAGAAAGAAAAGGAGAAAAATCACAAGATATAAAACATGGAATGATTGTAGCAAAAGACAGCAAAGATACTACCTTTTGGTACAATTCCAAAACACCTGGAGCACCACTTTAATACCATTGGCGTTGACAAAATCACCATCAGACAATTGCAAAAGGCAGCTTACTTACAATCTTCGACAATACTTTTAATATTGTTAAATAACATGTGCCTATCCCAGATCTTTGAGAAGGACTCAAGAGGTGCACAAAAATGCCAAATCCAAGACTAAACATCTGGCTGACTTTGTGACCACTGTAATGATAATATACTGTATATACCAACCAACTATATATGGTGGTGTAGGATTCATAGGGATGTTAACGTGTAGTCTTAACTGTACATATATAGACTTCCTATTGTTTTTATTTCATACCTTAGTAACTTCTGTTGGACAAACTAGCATCTGATTTTTAGTGACTACTGATAGTTTTCCTTTTTAGTTGTATTTTTAATTTTTTTCTTGTTTGAGATGAAAAATGTTTTTTTTTAATGAAGATGTTAAAAAATAGCATCTGGTATTTGAAGTCTGATTAACTGAAGTGGCTTTTTAATTCAAAAATTTAAATTCTGCTTTGGGAAGTGTATTCTATATTCTATATTATATAGATATAAAGTGTATTATTGTGTACTATGGTAAAAATGGTGATATTTACCTTTTCTGGAAATTGAGGTTGTAATATTTTTAAATGTCTGGTTTACAAAATAAGGAATACCAAGACTATCAGCTCAAATTTAAGCTAATGCATACAATTTAAGTGTAATTACAGTGATAAATTCTACTCCCTAATATAGTGAAAATAGGAATGTTTTCTTTACTTCAGTATAACCGCATTAGATGTTAATTTTTAATTTAAAAAATCAGAATGTGGTCATAAGTCATAGTTGTCTAGTCCAGTGGTTCCCAAACTTGGCAACTTTAAGACTTGTGGACTTCAACTCCCAGAATTCTCCAGCCAGCTGGCTGGGAGAATTCTGGGAGTTGAAGTCCACAAGTCTTAAAGTTGCCAAGTTTGGGAACCACTGGTCTAGTCTACACTTAATATCATTGTCTTAAATCATTGTTAAAAAACAAAGAATTCCAAATGAACAAAATACACAATTTCCTGTTATAAGCTTCTAAAGTGAGGTGGTGATAAATGAGTAAAATTCTGAATTACATAAATGTCTTTGTCCTCTTTATCTGATTATTGCAAATGTTCAATTTCTATGAAAGTCTGGAACCTTCAAGAGTTGAAATTGCATGATCCCAAGCATGCCAACTTGCCATCTCTTAGGCATTCTCTAAGCTGTTTTTTTTTAAATTTCCATTCAGTTATGTCTGATTCTCAGAGACTATCTAGACAGTTCCCCACAGTATTTTTGCAAGGTTTTTCAGAAGTGATTTGCCATTGCCCCCTTCCTAGGGCTGAGAGGCAGTGACTGACCCAGTCACCTAACTGGGTTTTTTGTCTAAAATTGAGCTGGAACTCATGTCTCCCAATTTCTATCTGATACCTTAATCACTGCATCAGACTGGCTGCTTTTAGAGAAGCTCAATAGCCCTTGGATTGTAATAATACCACAAATGTTCAGTCTTACAGTATATCCACATCATTGTAATTAATCTCTCTAGATGTTTCAGTCTGCACTCAGGAGCTTTCACGGAAGGACAGGACTCTGATACATAAGTAAGATTTATTGCAGATGCAAAATAGCTATAATAATGAAGATACAGAGTTTACAAAATCTCACTGTATATGTGTCTATTCAAGTTTTTCTATTTTCAGTCCTTTTGTTGTAATAGATTGTATGCAGTCTTTTTCTCAGATTGGGCTATTGATAGCATTGGTACTATGTTTATCTAATGATTCAGTCCCAGGCTCCTTACTTCTCAAGTTGCCAACTCTAGTTTTTTCATAAATTTAAGAAAAGAGATAATGTATTCTTCACAGTGCTTATTTGCTTATTTTTAATTCTGATCTGATGTGGGGAAAATTTGGAATGACTAAAATATTACTAGACTGAGCCCAGAAAATGAGAAAATTGTACATTTGATTTAGTACTCGGAAAATGAAGTATGCTTCAAAATAATGATGTTGAACAACAAATCTGATAGGATTTCTCTGTTTTTTCTTAATTAAGATTAAGACATAGGATAAAGGAATCAGCATTTTAACTGATAGGCAGAAATAAATGCTTAAAATTATTTACTTCAATTTAACAAAATTATTAAATGAAGATATTGGTCTTAATTTTAATTCATCTAAAATATTTGTCTTTCCATACAAGCTCTGTTTGAATCTCAAATTGGAATGTAAGATTTATACAGTATAAAAGATATAAAGTATAATATATAGTTTGTATGTTTTTTTATTGTATTGTAAACTAAATATATCATTGATGCAAATAGCTATCACTGATATTGATTTCTAGTTTATGGATAATGTATTTATCAAACTTATATTGCATCTTTATTTGGTGTACATAATATCCCCTCTTATTCCACACAAAAATAACCCTGAGATTTCTATTGGCTGAGAGTGAGCAGGCTGTCTAAGGGAGGACTAGTATTTGTGATCTCCTGGTTTGTAGTCTGTCACTTTAACCATCACACTGACTCTTTATTTATTTGAATAATGGCTCTTTATACAAGGCAAAATAGATGTCATTGTCAGAGAACTCACTACACAAAAATGTTTGTTTCACAATATCTTATGTTACTGTGTAAAAGAATAAGGCCATTAGTATTTAATATCAACTTGTGTAGGCAATACAAATTGGCGTGATGCTGAAATTCATAGAGCTGGGTAACCAGTTGTTATTTTGACCAGACAAATGTTATTTTAAGGTAATATTTTTATACACTTATAAAAGAAAGTCATATATTGTATGATTCTGCTTGTGTGGAATCTCTTTCTCTTATGTTTCTGCATTTATTCAGTGCATTTAAGTATACACTCCAGTGGTGGGTTCCAACAGGTTCGGACTGGTTCAACTGAACCAGTAGTGGTTTGGCAGCCTGGGTTGCTGGAACCAGCAGCAACCCAGGTCTGCCACGTCCCTGAACTGGTTCTCTGGGCAGCACCATAGGCACCACCACCTTGTTTTTTGCTTCTGCGCATGTGCAGAATAATTTTTATTGTATTGTGCATGCGCGCACAGCATGCCCACAAGCGAACCGGCAGTAGTGCCTGCCGGAACCCACTCCTGATACACTCACATACTGGTATACTACTACTGCTGCTCCTGTACCTGTGCCAGGGTGGAGTATTCCATTGGAAGAATCCCGAACCCTCAGATAACTATATGAGGCAGGTAAATACATTGGGAAGATGGGGTGAGAAAGCATTTTTCTATGAATAGAGTTATGCTTACAGATTTTAAGTCCAAGCATAAGAGTTACTTTAACTCCTAGACTGTAAAACAAAATCCAACCTTTCGCAAAGTTAATATTTCTATGTCTCCTGTAGTGATTGAAAAATTAGATCTTTATTTTTCATTTAGAATTAAAAGTGCTACCATGTATTGGAGCGCCAATCTCCAGTTAGAAGAAAGCAGTTGAGGGAGGTGATTCTGGTTTTTTGTTCTACTTTCTAACACCTTGATCTTGGTCCTGATCAAGTTGAATTCATCTTATGCAATATTAAAAAAAGAACTGCCTCTTAATAAAATTACATTGTCAATTTATTTGTTTTTCAGTCCTACGATAATGGTCTTGCCCAAGGAGCAGAACTTGAATCACATGGTAAGATAATTTTTTAGTCTTACCATTAAAAAAAAGTGGTTGTGGGAATCTGATTGAACTTCACTTCTACCCCAGTGCTGGCAAAATGTGAACGTTGTGAATTCTAGTTTGAGGATTCTTGTGAGAAAGGAGGAAAAAACCCACTAATTTTTCATTGACAAAAGCTAGCTGCTCCCATATTGGAATTGCTGTTTCTTCAAGTGTCAGGCTTGCTACAACTATGTGCAGTTTTTCTTCCCACATGCATTGTGAAATAACAGCTATTGTATGTTTTCAAAGTTGGATGAATTAGAACCAATTAAACTCAGCTGGGGGCTATTAACAGGTACACTATGTAGGCAGTTACTTTAAAAGATTAAATGAATTCATGGAGGAAAAAGCTCTGGGTATCGGTAGTTGCTTGAGAACGTTAATAGTAGATAATAGTTCATGTCAATTAAATCTTATTAGTAATTCCATAAAGGCTGTAAACATATTGAAGAGACTGTCCCCCCTGTTATAGGTGGCTCTACATTTTGTGGTATTGCATCATTGTGCCTCATGGGTAAACTTGAGGAAGTCTTCTCTGAAAAGGAACTGAAGAGAATAAGGAGATGGTGTATTATGAGGCAACAGAATGGTTATCAAGGAAGACCCAACAAGCCTGTAGATACCTGTTATTCATTTTGGGTAGGAGCAACTCTTAAGGTAATTTGAAAGTATAAATAAGACTTTAGAATCTATAGTCTGCTTATTCTATATCCGGGATGGTGAACCTATGGCATGCGTGCCACAGGTGGCACGTGGAGCCATTTGTCAGGGCACGCGAGGCATTGTCCTGTCAGCTGGCCAGCATGTATGCGCGTGCTGGCAAGCTGAGTCCTTTTTTAAAGCCATTCCCCCCCCCCCAGGCTCCAGAGGCTTTATAGAAGCCTGGGGGGGTGAAAACAGCCTACCCCGCCCCTCTCCGAGGCCCTCTGGAGGCTTCAGGAGCTTCCCTGAAGCTTGCGGAGCGCAAAAAAACAGCCCTAAGGGCAAACAGGAAGTTCAGGAATGGACTTCTGGTTTGCTCGTAGGGCCAGTTTAAGCCCTCCAGAGCGTTCAGGAGCCCTCAGGAGGCTTCCCTGAAGCCACCATAGGGCAAAAAACAACCCTATGAGCAAACTGTATGGCCGTTTTTAGTCCTCCGGAGCCTTTAGGAAAGCCTCCTGAGGGTTCCTGAACATTCCTGAGGGCTAAAATCGGCCCTACAAGAAACCCGGAAGTGACTTCCAGTTTGCTCATATGGTCGTTTTTGGCCCTCTGGAGGCTTCAGGGAAGCTTCTCGATTCTCTGGGGGGCGCGGGGGGAGGCTGTTTTCGCCCTCCCCAGGCTCTAGAGGCTTTATATGCAAAAAATGGGGGAAGCGCCTGTCATGTGCGCATGCGCGCTGGGGGGGGTCACACATTGTATTATGGATGAAGCACATCCACCCATGACCCCTCTGCGCTCTCCCCGCTTATGGCACACGAGCCAAAAAAGGTTCGCCATCGCTGTTCTATATTAGGAGTTTTATTGTGCCAACAGCATAAAAGCTGCTCAGTTTTTCATCAAGCTAGACAGCTAAAATTTCTGATTAAAATGTATGAATGAGCAGGAAGAAAGGAGAAAACTTGTAGTTTTATATATATATATATGTGTGTGTGTGTGTGTGTGTGTGTGTGTGTGTGTGTGTG